AGTATTTCCTCTAGCTTATCAAAGGTCTCCGCACTGCCCCTGTTATTCTGCGGGGGAAGGGGAGGCCTCCCTCTTTGTAGCTGTTGCTGGTAACTCGGCTTTGTGGCCCTGCCACACCTGTCAACCCCCTTTCCTTGGTTTTGGGGTTTTGTTTGCTTTTGTTTTTGAAGACTTACTAAAAGTTTATCAATTTTATAAATTTCACCCCACATAAACAGCTCTTGGTTTTATTGATTCTCCTATATTGGTTTTATACTTCTGGCTCATAGATATTTTTGCTCTTGGTTTTGTTGCTTGCCTGCTTATAATTTATTTGCCCTCTCCTAGTTTCTCATGGCACAGCAGGAAAGCGCTAGCCCTGGCTGTAGCCTCAGTGTGGAGTGCTCCGCTTTGCTGTGCTCACAACCTTGACAGCTGGGGGCAGCTGTGTGGAGCAAGTCTGTGGGGGTTATTTCTTCCCACCGCTGAGACGATCATTTCCTTTTTTTTTTTTTTTTTTTTTTAATGTGTTTGGGGAACCAGGGAGATGGCTCAGTAGAATAAACGCTTGCCTGGCAAGCGCAAGGCCCTGAGTTCAATCCTCTGTTCCACCAAAAAATAAAATAAAAATGTATTTGGTACAGGGTCTCACTATGCAGCTCGGATTCATAGTGATCCTCCTGGTTTCAGCCTCCCCAGCGCTGGGATTACAGGCGTGCTCCATCATGCCCCAATCTTGTTGGCTGGCTCAGGGTACCTGGGGGCAGGGCCAGTGCAGCATGCAGGACTGGGGATTGAACCTTGTTCCCTGTGCTTGCCTAAACAGGCGCTTAGTCCACTGAGCTCTCTCACCAGCCCTCATTAACAATTTTTTAGTAATTTTAACATTGAGGTATGCAAGTTGGGCATGGTGGCACACATCTGTCATCCCAGCACCCAGGAGGCTGAAGCAGGAGGATTGTTGTGAGTTCGAGACCAGCCTGTGAGCACAAGCCAGCCTGAACTGCATAGTGAAACCCTGCCTCTAAAAGACAAAAATATTAATTAATCAAGGTATGTATTTTTGGACACAGTAGTATGATACACATTGTAATAGACTAACTTGGCTTCCTGAAACCCCCCCATCCACATGACTCATTTTATTATATTTTATTATTATTTTTTTAATTTTTAGTTTTTAGCAGAACTGGGGATTGAACTCAGGACCTTGTGCTTGCCAGACAAGTGCTTAGTCTACTGAGCCATCTACCCAGCCTGACATGACTCGTTTTCTTGGAAAAACAGCTGTTCCTGGAATAGTACTCAGGAACCAAACCCATCATATGTCTGAGGTGCTAGAGGGAACTTCTTTTCTTATTTATTTATTTTTTATTTATTTATTTATTTATTTTTTTGGCGGAACTGGGGATTGAACTCAGACCCTTGTGCTTGCCA